AGTCCTATATATATATATATATTACTTTGAGACCATTGTCAGGAAATGACATAACACATTTGATATCGTTATAAAAGTTCTGTACATGTGTAGGAGGTCACTCAATCTGGATTACTCACAGCTAAGGCTAATTAAACTCAAAATATCCACCCTGTTAGGTTGTCTGTTTGTTGCTGCATGTCAGGAATGACCCAAATGTATTTGGGAATTATTCTCTTCTTCGTCACAGTGGGTAAATATGTTTAGTTAACTCTGATCCAAAGTAATTATTGTGTGTGTTAACAGGTGTTCCTCTGGCCATAGTCAGCCTGGTGCTCGCCATAGATAAAGATGCTTACGGGAACAGTGTGGCAGAAGACGCTGCGGTGATTCAGTCCACTGATCAGTTGTAAGTACAAGCACTGGTCTGTAGTTGTGACCAAGGTGAGTCATATCTATTCTGGGAGCATCACGACTAAACTCTGTGATGAAAACTGTGAGATCAGGTCATATGAGTGCCCGATATCATAGATTTATAAAATTACACAAAACAACAACAAACACAAAAGAAATCAAACACTCAACAGGGTCTTACACAAACAAACAAACAAACAAACATAGTTGATGACATTTATGATGACATTTCATAAATCCCAGTTACATAATGACTAACCCTCTGCCTCCCTCCAGCTGCTGGCTGCAGAATGACGTCTTCTTCTACATGACGGTGGTGGCATTTGTCCTTCTGATCCTGTTTTGCAACATCTGTGTGTTCATCGTGGTTTTGGTCCAGATCAGAAGGATGAGGGCCAATAAGCAGTCAGCAAACAGCCCCAGCTATGTGCATGACTTGAGGGCAGTGGCCAGTCTCACCGTCCTGTTAGGCCTGACGTGGTCAATGGGCTTTTTTTCATTTGGGCCAGGCAGAGTGGTCCTGATTTACCTCTTCACCATCTTCAACTCGTTCCAAGGTAAGAGTCAGTTGTGTGACAGTTTTGTTAAAGCTGTTGTTACCGTGTGGTTAAGTTTAAGTACAAAAAGCACTTGGTTAGGGTTAGGGTCATGATTTGTCATAAAATACCTAGTTCTGTTGCAACAAACACTTTTGGAAATGTCCCGATGTGACGTAAAAATACATCTTGTTTTGTCGCAACAAATACGGCTCAAAATGTCCCACCCTGATATTAAATAATGCCCAATTTTGTCGCAACAAAAACTGCTGGAAATGTTCCCAATGTGACATTACAAAATAAGCAGTTTTGTTGCAACAAACACTGATGAAAATGTCCTGACATTATCTTATTAAACAAACAATGCTAGAAATGTTCCGACGTGACATTAAAAAATACCTTGTTTTGTCACAACAGACACTGCTGGAAATTTTCCTGATGTGACGTTACAGAATAATTGATTTTGTTGCAATGGACGCTGCTAGAAATGTCCTGATGTGACATTACAGAATACTTGGTTAATATGGCTGAAAATGTCCCGCCCTGATATTTAAAAAAAAAACCCAATTTTGCGCAACAGGTACTGCTTAAAATGCCCCAACATGACATTAAAAAATACCCCGTTTTGTCGAAACAAAAACTGCTGGAAATGTCCCGATGTGACACTGAAAAAATTGGGAACTGCCCATTGGTCCGACAGCCCATTGTTCCAACCATATTAAATCCATTGTTCCGAAGTCTGTTCCAAAATCATCATGATGCCCTGTGGTTAAGGTCTGGTTAGGTTTAGGCTAGACTCACAAGTCAGTCTTTATACGCTTTGCTTAACTAAAGACTGATGACTTTCTCCCTGATTTTGTGTTTAGATGGGCGGATACAATTTCAGAGTTTAAAAAAACTCCCTACCTTGCAGAACCAATAGTAAATCCGCAGGGCGGTCCTTCGGTGGCTCGCTGAACTCTTGTGCTCGTAAACATAGTCCGACTAGAAACACGTGCAGCAGCACAAAATGGCTCAAGTCGCTGTAAGTCCTTCATTTCCACAATCTTGTGGACTGAGCACACGTTTGATAAAACGCAATGCAAGAGGCGTTGCTTTGTTGCCGGCCGTTTTCGCCACACTTTAGAAAGGAGTGTCCCCAGACTATCAGAAGGCGGAGATCTCTGATTGTCTGGTGGCGAGACTAGGTTTAGGCACAAAAACCACTTGGTTAGGGTTAGGAAAAGATCATGGTGTGGGTTAAAATAAAAAAGAAGGTGACAAACACATAAGCTGTGAGCCTGCTTCGCCTCAAGCCTTTACCAGCTGACCCAGAGCCAGTAGAAGAGCACCATCAAGGTAGAAATACGCCCACCGGGAGCCGTTCAGCACCGTGGACTGTCGGACTAATGGGATGTCGGACCAATGGGCTGTCGGACCAATGACATGGACCCGAAAAAATCCAATATTGTCACAAAAAAAACTGCAGGGAAATGTCCCGACATGAGATCAAAAAATACCCAATTTTGCGCAACAGGCACTGCTAAAAATGCCCTGATATGACATTAAAAAATACCTGGTTTTGTCGAAACAAACACTGCTGGAAACGTCCTGACGTGATGTAGAATAAACAGCCTGTTTTGTTGCAACAAAACAATACTGGAAAAGTCCCAGTATGTCATTAAGAATACCTGCTTTTGTTGGTTACGGACAGTGTGTCACACCATCCACCTCCTCCTGCTGAGAACCTCAGCTTGTAGACATGTAATCTGAGCTACATCACTTTAGCGATGTTACCTTGACACAAACGAAACAAACAAATGTAACTTATTTGTGGTTTGCAGAAACGTTTGTTGCCAGCATTTTATTCTGGCAGCAGGGCTGGGTGTTAATCATTACAGAGGAGTGTCATTTTTAACACATCTGTAAGTCTGTTAGTGTGTGGAGCAACATGTAGGTCAGTCAACAAAAATTTGTACTATATCTCTATCATGTTTCCATTATTGTCTCTGCTCTTCCCTCGTAGGGTTCTTTATCTTTTTGTTCCACTGCCTGATGAAAGAAAACGTGAGGAAACAGTGGAGGATCCACTTGTGCTGCGGACGCTTCAGACTCAGTGATTACTCAGGTACATATTGTTTGTGCACATGAGACATATTGCAGTATAATAGCCAGATGGTTGAGGGGGGAGTATTTTCAACACAGATGATGCATCGTTTTCTCATTCTGGTCCCCCTTGTGTTCAGACTGGAGCCGTTCTGTCACAGTGGGCGGTCACTTCAAAAAGAACCATCTTGTTAACTGTGACTCAGTCGCCTCTGACAACACCTCCTCCATCAGGAAGGTCTCCGACTCCTCTACGGGATCAGCACCAAAGCACCACCAGGGGGCGTGAGCAGGCCTCTGTCGGTGCCACTCTGTGCAGCTCTCCCTTTCAAGGTCCATTAATCACAAACACTGACAGCAGAAAGTAGAACAGCTCTGTGTGTGTTATGGGCAGGGAAGGAAATAAATAAATAAAGCACACATACAGGGAGATACAATGGGTCCGTGGACACTCCTTCATCAGACATGAAAATTATGATAATACTGCACTGACAGCCATGTCAAAATACAGCAAAGAAGTATATGCCCTAAAAAGTGCATATTTTATTCAGACAGCCCAATTTACAGTTCACCTTCAAGGTTTACATTTCTGCTTTCACTGGACTGTTGAAGGACAGATGCTTGAAAAAATATTTTGTGTTTGTAAAACTTTAAGTGAAGTAATGAGTAACAGGAAGCAGCAAGAGTTTTCCACTTAAATCTAATGTGAAAGATCTGTAACCAAGAACTGTTCAAGGACAAAACATGAGAAACTGTGGTCATGATTTTTTTTTTTTGGTAAGACAGGAGATGTTGTTTGTGCACAGCTCAGTTTCCTGCCTGCTTATTCTTCAGAACTTAAAATTTCTACAGCTCATGTTTCCTTTGAAAATGTTTTTAAAGTGGAAAGAGACACATTTTTGGTGCTTTAACATATCATTATGAAGTAAAACTTAATTGGCTGTAGAATAATGACACCATCAGCATTTAGATTGGTTCCCTATAAGTCTCGCTTTCACTCTGCAATTCTGTCTGCCACCAGATACGATTTACCAGGAAAATGAAGCCTCAATTTACGGCACAAAGGAAGTGTGACAACCATTAAAACAACCAAGAAAGGAGGAGGAGAGTGCTTTTGTTTTCCTCAGAAGCTGTCAGTAGCTGTCCCCAGTTACCAAAGTGAATCACTGAAAAGTTCTTTGCAGGTACTACCCCTAGAAGTGGAAATGGCAGATGGTGGGACAACTGAAGTAGCTGTGGAAACTGTGGTAATTTGCTAAGCTCTTAGGAAAATGGAAGCAATCTGGTTGCCTTTGTGACAGTGGCTCAAGCAATAATACCACACTTTGAACAATGGAAAAGTTGTCTGTTTCCACTTTAAATGTATTCTTTATTTCAATGATAAGAAAATATTCATGTACGTTTTGTGAGCGTCTGAAGATTGCTTTTGTGTGTGTGTGAAGATTACAACCCATCAAGATCACGTCTGATTTTTTCTGACTGTAAAATAAATGCTAATGTTATTTTAGGACTGACTGGAAACCCTCTGGGAGCCCACACTACAAAGTCTGTTAAAATAAAGTGATTATTTTCTTAAAGACGATCAGTTACTATCATAAAATCTACACTGACTGTCTCATTGTAGTGTTGTTTTCCAAATGATTTCAAAGATAAAATAAAATGGCTTTGACAGACAAAGTGTCAGCCAAAGACACTTCACAACTTTTCTGTGCAACAATAAAAAAAAAGCCAAAGGATGAACCAAACAGGGTCCAACACTTAATTACTGCAGTGAAAACACAAAGACCTACAAGTCAGCCACAGAACCCATGAAGGTCAACCCGTAAAGGTAAACTGTGTTAAAGGCTTTGAGTGTGTGGCTGAGGAATGTTTTTAATAAGGTGTCCGTCAGGTTCTGGAGGAACTTGCTGGATGACATTCTGCTCATAGCTGTCTGCGTTCAGGAAACACCACACGCCCTCCCAACAGTCTAACACATCATGCAAATTGGAGGCTCAGTGAGCAAAATATTTTGTCCATAGAGACAAGGAACATTGATGTCGGCGTCTTCAAATCAAAGTCAATGACTCTGGTGTTTAAACTCGAGCCAGGTGAATTTTTTCCCAACAATTTCGGCTGCTGCACATGTAGGTGAACACTTCAGCTTTGATCCACCGGTCAATGCAAGGACGCACTCCTTGGTCATCTTTAAGCAATCATCAGGTCAGGTAAGGGAAGCAAAGTAACTTGAAATATAGCTGACAAAGTGTTTTCTATCAGCACTGTGGGATGGATGTAATCTGATTATTTACACTTTGCTCCTTACTTTTACGTTACAGTTGCTGACATGTTTTCCCTGAAATAAGGCACATTCATTATGCATTTCAGCCCCCTTACTTAAACATCCTCTTGTGAAAACCTGCACAATATATTTCTTATTAAGTCTTATTAAATGTGCCACCACAGTGTCCATCTTTTTGGAAATTACAATGTGAATACTTCCAGATTTTCTCAGAATTGATCATTTGGTGCTGAGTAAATATGCTGTGCATGTCATTTTCATTCACTCTGAGTATAATATATTAATATTGAGACTTACAATGCACCAAAATGAAAGGTACTTTATACACTTACTGTTGGTGTTTAAGTAAAAATGTTTTTTTGTGGGAAACTATAATCAGTCTACCTCAAGGACATCTTAACAGTGAGTCACTCAGGGCAACTTAAGTTTAAATTGCTTTCAATTATTCAAGAGAAAGGGGGTTTTAGGGAATAAATAGATAAATAAATAAAAATATAAAATCTGTTATTCTGTGGATCTTGTAGAATAAACAAGCTGTTTTGTCTCAGTCTCAGCTGACCCACATGGAGGACAGAACAGACAGTCCCATAGCCGTGAAGGTGGAGGAGCATTCTCGGTGTGTCATCCTGACCTACTTCCAGGGTGACATCAACAGCATGGTGGACGCTCACTTCAGCCGTGCCCTCAGCAAAGGCTGCAAGGCCAAGGCACCGGCAGCAAAGGCAAAGAAAATACGTAAAAGTATTAAACTGGGTAAGTGCTTATTTTGCAAGTCAAAGTAAGTCTCAAGTCTTTACACTTAAGTCTTAAGTCAAGTTTTAGTTTTAAGTCCTGAACAAGTCATAAAGCATTCTTCACCAAATGTAATGCCATTTTAAGAAATTTACAAAAATCATCCATGCTTTTAAAATTTCGATATATTTGGTTAAATAAGTTTGTGAAAAAGTTACTTAGATGTTAAGCTAACGTAGCCTGGACTTACTGCTCTGTGAGCAACTTCAAATGACCTGCACATTTTGCACACTGCAGTTTTTTTTTTGTTGACTACCTTTAATTTTCCTCTGCAAATGAAATCATCTTTGACATCATTTTTTCCAAATGATGATTGGATTCTGTCGGATCGGTTTAAACAAAGTGGATCTGGAGAATTTAGTGCCGATTCATGAAGTGAAGGGAAATGAATTGATTTGTGGCATGCTTTTTAAAAAGCATTTAATATTTGAGCTTGTGGGAAGGTGTTAAATGTTTTCAAGTCAAAGGGCTCAAGTCCAAGTGAAGTAACAAGTCACTCATGGTAATGTCCAGGTCTAGTTGCAAGTCTTTTTTGATTTTGTCAAATCAAGTCTAAAGTCATCAAATTTGTGACTTGAGTCCAAATCTCTGGTGAGCACAATATATGACCTACCTGACCTACCCTAGGATGATCATCCTCACTGTCTGGCTTCTGTCTTCGTCCCTCCGCAGAGGAAACCAGCACCTGTCAGGGGCCGGCTGTTGACTGTTACTCAGAGTCACAGCTCCCTCCTGTAGCAGGACGTCTCATGAATTTCAGCCCTGCAGAAGACCCCGCTGGCTCGTGGCACTCGTTCACAACCAGGACAGGAGAGGGCCCGGGGTTGCCGTCCCTCACCTACTCCCTGTCCCCAGATGGATTGAGTCTTACTGGACAGCAATACGCCTCATCTCTGCTCAACCTCCTGCATAGTGACCGGGGTGAGATGGGACCCAGCGTGGCCTCCAGCTCCAAGCCAGAACTGCATCCCAGCTGGACGATGCCTCAGGGATTGAGAGACTCCATGGACCCCACCTTAGGATTTGAACCTGGTAGGCCTTCACCTGTAGTCTAACATGTCGTCCAACCAGAAGGATAAGAATAACTTCTTACTTTTATAAGATCCACAAATCTTTGCATTTGGATAAATGTATTCTTGATGAACCGACTATGAGCTACTATGCTAATGGCTCTGAACGAGCTTTCCAAAGTCTAAGAAAATAGTCTCTATTGATGTCATCAGGCTCATCTTGCCTTGGACTTGGAAACTTTGAATTGTTGACAATAAGCCTGGGTAACAAACTGGGGGTGTGGACGGAGACATTTATCAGACAAAAAGGATCTGACAAAAAGAAAGTACTGAATTGTGTCATGGGAAGTGTAGTTATTGGCATTTTTTGATCTTGAAACATACAGACTAAACGTAAAGACATCTCTGCAGCATCACGTTTGACCATATGTTTCTTGAAAATCCCCGACTTAAACTACAAACCATTGCACAGGGGTAGATTTTGGGGGTGACATAAGGGACATATTCCACTCTTTATTTATAGCAGGTGCATTTGTCCCCTGGAATACAAAAATAAAAGTGGCAGAGGACTTTTATTTTGACAAAATTAATGACATTTACACCACAAATTGACACATAAAAGGTACAAACTGGTGCACAAAAAAGTGTTTGATGCTCAAACTCCCAAACCTCCTGTTTCATTGGTGTCCCCCCAACACTGAAACAAAACCTTGAACCATCGTGACTCACCATTAGTTCCCTGTATTGTATGTACCTGCTTATATTTCTGTGTTCGCTCAGGGTAAGTAAAGGCATCACCTACTGAACAAATACCAATCAAACTTTAGCTGTTTATGGACATCACTTAGAGCAAAAGTTTGTTACAATCAAAATGCCTTAACACTTCATAAATAATAAGTAATTATGTGCCAAGAAAATAGACAGCCTGTAATTATATAATCCTATTTAGAGTAAATTAGGAACTATTTGTTAGGTGTTAATTACCTGTTGCTGATGTCTTTACTTGTTAAACAGTAAGCACTGATTTGGGCATCTTACTTTTTATTCTAAAATACTGGCCATTTTTCCTCAGCATACTTTTCACAAACTTAGAGCTGCTTAGAACTAATTTTGTCTCCTTTCTGTCAGGACGGCGTCTGGACAAGAAGGACTTGTACTGGTACTGAAAAGAGAGACAGAGGGAGAGTGGCTGGAGCAGCAGAGGCAGGAACAGCTTCAACACCACCACACACATACTTGTGACTCTGTAAAGCCGCTTGGCTTTCTGCTCAGCCGTCAGGTGTTTTCTCGTCAAACAGGTGTCACTGAGCGTCCTCCAAGAATACGCACAGGAGGAGCACTGCAGCGCTTCCATTTCCACTCCACAGTGAAATGAGCTCAGCCCATCAGCACGCACCGACTGGAACAACCTTTCTGAAAGGGAACACTCTCTGACAAACCTGTTCTTCAACTCTGTCACTCCTCTTGATGAAAAGAAGATCTCAAAGAACTGTACATGTTGTTGCTCCCGGTGATTGAAGGGCATTTTTCTTGTGCTGTCATCAGGCACTTCTCTTCTAGTGGGCCTACTAGTGTTGTTAAATACTGGAATTCCTAACTTCGATGCAATACCTTGGACATGATAGATATTCCATACCAGTGGGAAAAATTGACATTGAGGGCATAAAGATTAGAGATTTTTACTAAAAGATAAATAGGACATGGACTTTAAAATGACAACAAATTCTCTTTCTTGGTTAGCAGCAGAGAGCAGCAGAGTGACTGTGGTAAACATCAACAATAAATTCCCATTAACAATATGGTAGTTCACATGTTCAAAAGCATTTAAAGTCACACATTTAAAGTGCTTAAGTGCAAGGGAAAAAAACATTTCCTTATTCCAGTAGGTTTTTACCTATTGTGCATTTGTTGTTTTAAGGTCACACTGGTTTTGGCAGTGTAACAGTATGTGTCCCATGGCAGTGAGGCCCCCTTTGAATTAAACTGAATAAAATCTAGAAGAGAGTGCAAGTGGAGGCAGGCTTACAGGGGCCACTGCAGTGGTAATTGTGTAAACTCACTGTTGGAAAGAAGACAGTGTGAGAAAAGAGTATTGATAGCGTCAACACTGCGAAAAATGAGTATTGAAATCAATATGTATCAATATATCTATATTTTTGACAACTCTAGCCTACACCAGTAAGAAGACCAGTATTACAGTAAGTTAAAAGTCTAGTTTGTAGGATTTAGTGGCATCTAGCAGTGAGGATTGCAAACTGCAACCAGCTGAACTCTTGGTTAATTTCCTTCAGTGTTCATTGTTCAGGAGATTTTTTACCAGGAGCTGGATTATCCTCCTCTCCAAAAAATGGACCAGGGGTCTCATTTATAAAACAGTGCGTAGGATTCATGTTAAAAATGTACATATGGACAAAAGCCAAAAATGGTGTGCACCAAAAAATACTTGACAGTTTCTACAATCAGGCCTCCACCTCACCGTCTGCGTCACCAATTTACCATCTCCAAAATGTTCGTAAGCATGGGTCAAAGTTTCTCCCATCAAGTTTTCATAGATCACAACTTTTACGTGGGAAATGGCATAGATATCTTTCATGCCTCGTTTTGTTTGTACACATTGTTTATGAATGAGCCCCCAGATGATTTAAAAAAGTAAAATCACTGTATGAAGCAGTTCCATGTTGTTTTCGGTGTTGTCTGGTTCACCACAGAGGGGCTGCTAACTGCAGAGGCCAACGCAAAAACATGAATGGCCTTATCTGGAGCCAGTGTTTGGTTTGTCAGTTCTGGGCCACGGTAGAAACATGGCGGTGCAACATGGCGGCTCATTCTGAGGTAACAAAAACACAATTGTTATTTTCAGGTGATTATACACCAAAAAAATAACACTCATCATTTTATATTCCATTTCCTCCAAAATCCCCCTAAATCCCACACACTGGACCTTTAAAGTGAGAGCATTTGTGAGTGTATAAATATTGATGTTAATATCTGTTACAGTCCACCTTTTTAAATAGAAGTTGCTGTGAGAATATTTTATATATTCAAACAAAAAAATATGAATAATGAAGGATAGTAATGTTTTGTTAATGACTTGTTTTCTGTAATCTTGTGTGTCGTGTACTGTACAAAAATGGAATCATATATGAAGTTAAATAAATATCTGAGCAAACACAGAAAATCTTGATATCATTCAGTGTTGAACACAGATATCTACTTAAAGGCGCTGAATGTAAGAATGTGGCCAAAACGGTTACTGCACTCAAATTCAAAATACTGCCGTGAGTCCTGTCCGCCCCCCTCAACTACAGATTCGAGGTTGCTGGACAGCGGCACGCTGGAGACTGATTTGTTTGCCCACAGGCGGCTGCCGTGGCAGGGCTGCGTTGCCGAGTCCTTGATCTTCGGATTTCCAGCGGTCCGTTCAAGCAAGTCCAGCTTCTCTGCTGCTAACACTGCTGCCGGGATACAGCTGAGGAGCCAGCTGCTAATGCTATGTACTGGGACACTGCTAATGCTGCTTGCCGTGCTGCTGTAGCTCAGTTGTAACTGTAACTGATGCTGAGACTCTACTCTGACTGCGTGACTGGTAGACGGCGGTGGGTGGCACAACAGGCCAAAACACAAATTCAAAACATAAACATGATTTGACCGTAAAATTTTTTTTTAAATGCAAATATTCTGGCTGAACTATTGTTGTCGGTGAGATCAGTATGTTATATGAACATTATTCCTTAGTCTCTGTGACATATTAGGAGGATTTTATGACTATTTGCTTTATATTTCTTACATATAGCTCCTTTAACATGCTCTTAATGTGAAATGAAGTGATGAGGGTCAAATAGCAAACATACAAAATGAACAATACCAACACCTGATGATGCACAGTGTGAAATATTTCCTACAAAAATATATAAAAGACACCGATCAGTGGTGGAAAGTAACTCAGCACATTGACTCAAGTACTGAACTTTACTTGAGTATTTTTTGTTACTATACGGGGCGTTGTGGTGGTTAGCATGGTTGCTTCACAGCAAGAGGGTTCCTGGTTCAAACCCTGAGGTGGGGGAGTCCACATGCTCTCCCTGTGTCAGTGTGGGTATCCTCCAGGTACTCCAGCTTCCTCCCACAGTCCAAAGACATGCAGGTTAATTGGTGACTCTAAACTGTCTGTAGGTGTGAATGTGAGTGTGAATGGTAGTCTGTCTCTATGTGTCAGCCCTGTGATAGTCTGGTGACCTGTCCAGGGTGTATCATACCTCTCACCCAGTGTCAGCTGGGATAGGCTCCAGCACACCTTCGACCCCCAACAGGATAAGGGGTTACAGAAAATGAATAAATTGTGTTACTTTGAATTTGTAAAGAAAATTTTGTGAATGAAACTAGAAAACTAGAGAAAATTCTTGATGAAGTATATAGGGACCATTAACAGCCACAAAACTATTTAAAAAATATCTCTTTACCACCTTTCACACAACTCATGCAGTATGATCCAAGTCTCATTTATCCAGTCGTACGCTCAGTACTTCCTGTACACATGCAACTATTTTAAATGTTTAATCAGCGCAGGTGCTCTGCTTGTCGATGTATGAAGCAAAACTTATTTTAGCCACCTAAAAAATGTCAATATGGGTTTAAGTGTATGCTACGTTTAGAATATTTTCACTGCTCTACCTTACTGTCAGACAGCCCTGTCAGATAGTGAACTGAAAGTGAAACTTATCTATGCTCTCTTCAAAGCCAGACACAGTAATTTTATGCCACTGAACACAGGAGCTGCTGGTCTACCTCTGCCTCGATCAGTGAGTTTGTTTGTAAATGGGACATAATGAAATAAAGAAATCATATAAAGAGATACATATACTGAACAGTGACCAAATGGCAATCACATACGGTAACTGGTTCTGCTCTGTTTGTCTTGATTGGCTGACAAAGAGCTGATGAAATGAAATGGCATTGTGGAATTAAAAGGACATAAAAAGAACAGCTTGAATGGAAATGCAAAGGACCTTTCACAATGTCAGGGATATATTTGTCCTGTATTTCTTCCTGTGATTCGTGTCTTATAGATTAATCCATACTGAGTGCTTTAATTGATATTTTTTCCACAGAGTAGTTGGATAGAGATTTTTTTCTGCTGTGCAAAGTCCATGGAGCAAACCCATTAGAGTGACACTCTGATAGTGAATTGACCAATGAACAATTTTACCAACAAAAGTGTGAGGCCGAGATGAGCTCCAAATACGAGCTGTTTTTGAGGACACACAATGTTCATCATCATCATCATCAGCATCATTAATTTCCTCAGCTCTATTCACCTGTTTGTTCCTTTAACTCTTCACACATCCACATGACCTATTTCATTTAGTAACCCCGGAGAAGAAGATGGTGCAAAAGAAGCCTAATTAAAAATGTGGAGCCCACAGTGGAGTTTTTTTTCTGGAGAACTTCAGAGATCAGTTGTCATTATTGGAGGGCGTTCATGCCTTGAGCTGAGCTCTGTCAACAAGAACTTCACCCGAGGCTTTGTGAGGAGGCTCATTAAACTTCTATATCTAGATGACACTTTTTGGAAGGTGTTACAGTAATGGAAGCTGACAAGATAGTTGAAGTTTATTTCAACTTCAGACAAGCAAGTGAAGACTGAAAGTAGGTCATGATTTAGTGAAGACTAGTCCTGTTGAACACTGGTCGTTTAACATAATCCATATTTTGATTACAGTCTACAGTCATGCTCGCAACTCTTTAAGGCCGTATACTTACAGAAAAGCTTTAAGCTAAATTAAACATGCTAATTAAATGACAGTGCTAATATATTGATGTTTAGCTGGTATAATGTTTACCATCTTAAATTATCATCCCCAAAAACAAAACAAAAAATGTGTGCGAATTTCAATTAATAACACAACAGGGTAGAGTTGTCTCAAACCAAACACGGCCTTGTGCACTCACTGGAAATGATGACCGCAAATTAGCTAGTTAGCAAACTAGCATTAGCATTCGCATTATCATTCACGGAACCAAATCATTACAGACTGCTAAATTAACCCAATAAACATACTGCTGGCTTATACCCGACAACAGTATAGTGGTGCTTAGTGCAAAAGACACATGTATTTGTAAAATGCAACGACGTTCACGGTCGCACAGTCCTCAGCCGCCATTTCCAGTTTGAAAAGTGGTCCCTCCCCTTCCACTACATAGCTAAGATGGCGACCATTGAGGGTGAGAAATGTCCATAGTTCCATACTCAACTTCTTGACCGTTTTGAGTGCACTGCATTTTTCCATACTTCTCAGTGTGAATGCACTTATGCACTCAAAATATTAAGTGTAAGTACAGAAGTACACGATTTGAGACACAGCAAGAGTCACATGATGACAGTATCCACATTTCACTGCAGACACCATTCATGGCCACAGATGGTGGAGTAGATTCTCCACATGATGAGGGTGGATTATTGATGATCCTGTGCTAATACTTTCATATCATCTACTACTGAATTATTGATGGATGGGTAACCAAATTGGCCGACTGTGCACTGCTCCCAGGTGCAGGAATGGGTGGAAAAGGGGGCTCAGGAGCTGAACATCTGATAATCAGGCCCAGGCAAAAAAAATGACGCAAGAACAGGGAAACACGTCAGCTATCATATCTGATAAACACAGGCAGAACATATTTGTTGTCAAAATTATGCACAAACGCATATGTGCATTGCATGCCTACACAGTCTATATATAGACTTCTTCATATGTTATATAGACTACATATGGACATCTTCTCCCACACTGGATCTGCACATCTCATTAACATATCTACCACCTGGTGCACAGAAGCAAAGAAGATAACATCCTCATAACATCCTCAGTTTTTGAAGAACTGACTTCTGCCAAAGCTTAGAGAGTCTACACAGTCTCTGCTGTCTACTTCCCGGGTTTTATTGTCTCTGCAGTTAGCATGTAGATGAATCCAAAGAGCCAGACATCATAACTGACCCACTCCTTCAGCCCAAAAGTTTCCTTGATCACCTGAACACACAGGACATTCATCAGCATCTACAGTTTTACCAGATGAAAGGCAGACTAGGTGATCACTGACATGAGGTGCTGGTTTGACCGATTCATTTTGAACTCGTCTGTTACTGTGTGATTGAGGTTGGTGCGTCTGATGTGATGATGAATGCTTTCACAGCACTCTCCTCAGGACCACAGGTACCATCTCCTGCAAATTGCTTCCTGCAGTGCGGCACCAGTAACACCGGTCCTGTTAATCAGACTCACCCAGGAGGG